GGGGGGGGCGCGGCGCGCGGCGCACCCACCCGCCGGCCCGCCGGTGCCTGAGCTCCTGCTTGGGGGCGCGATTCGAGGGCGCGGCGCAGCACGTGAGCCGGCGCCGCCGCAAAGCTTGTCCCCGCACACCCGCGGGAACGAGCTTTGACCGAAATGAAAAAGTCGATCTGAGGCTTGAGCAATTTTTGGTGGTTTCCGGGCGTAGACATGCCATGCGTCCGGTGGCAAGCGGAGGGCTGGCAGCAGGCAGGACTCCCCCCCGATCGCGCGCGACACCTCCGAGCGACAACCGCCGCCGCGACGCGGGCGGAAGGCGAGAAGGCGTCCGCGCTGCGCCCGCGGCGGGCGCTGCGCCGCCGCGGCTGTCTGCCAGCTCCTGCATGCTCTTGCTGCTTGCCCGCGCGCGGCATCTGACGAGGCGCCCCGCACCCCCCCCCCTGCCCACCCTTGCGTATGTCGATGGTGTGGGCCTCATACGCCAGCCCCAGCTCCTCAAGCGCAACACTGACCTGTATTAGGTGACGCGTTGTGCGGGGTCGCATGGGGTCGGCGTTGTGGCGGACATGGCACCACCCGGCGGCGCACTACGCCGGTTGCCGACTGGGCGGCGACACCGGCGGCGACGGCGAGGGCGAGGCAAGCGCGATCGAGGCCGATCGTGCTTACCTTTTGCCCGTTGGGCGTTGCGAGACTATAGAGCTGGATCGCCTTCGCCATGGTGCGTGACGACCTGGTGATGAAGCGCGATCTGGCACAGAGATGGCTACGCGCGTGCCTTTTGAGTGAAGCGGATGGAAGATACTGCGTCCGCACATCTAGTGCGCAAAGGGGTTGGCGCAACGTGCAAAAGTGATGCATGTCGCCCCTGGGTGACGCCGCAGTCAGTTTGGGTGAACGGGTGAGCGTTGCTGCTTGATTCTGACGGGACAGCAGCCCGACGTTCATGCAGCTACATTTGATTGCCTGTTAGCTTATGATATTGCTGAATACACCAGCAGCGCCATGCCAGGTTGGCAGCGCCACGCCGTGGGCCGCCACCGCCCGCACCCATCAGCTGCGCACAGGCCAAAGGGATGCATGACAGCATGCACAGACGATGGTGCATGCAGGCGCTTGACATGCCATGATTGGTTACTGGCGCTCCCGCATGCCTGCCTGTGTCAAGGGGGCGTTTTCAAGGCGGTCGGCCCTGGCCTGCCCCCGGTGCTCGTTTCGCATCCATGAGTCATCAGGGATGGGGCCCCGAGGGAGGGGAGGGGGGAGGGCGGCCCGCCTCCCCTGCTGGTTGGGCCCAATGAACATCTGGTGCTGCTTGGAAAATCTGCAATTAGCTGGCCACGGCTCTCCAGAGGCCAGTTCGCACCCGGCGGAGCTGTGTATGGGGGCTACCAGGACCATTGTCGGACCATTGTCCCATCCGGCGGTGCGAGTGGCGCTCCAGTTGCCGCTTGTGCTGGGGCATAACACATGCATGTGGTGTGGTATTGGGGAATCCCACCATCCACGAACGTGCAGCCCGATGCCAAATTTCATGACCAAACCCTCATCTGAAGTTTGAGCGGGACCGGGCGCAAGAGCGGCCCGCGGGACTGGGATTCAGCAAAGCCAAGCCGTGTCTACGCCTCTTGTTGCATCGCGTGATATCGGCTAGCAACCGTCGCGCTTTCGCTTCACATGAATATACAGTAACTCGTGATGCTGAAGTTGCAGCTGCTGGTGAATTGTCGGTTTTGTTTGGCCTTTCACCGCCACTTGCATGCGCAGCACCAGCACTGAAGTCGTCGCTCAAGCATCTGCATCCCTCCAACTGCCAGATGCACACTCACACACCAATGCGCACTCCAGCTATCCAGCTGCTCCTCAAGAGCCCACTGGCCGTGGTTTACTGCAATGTGATATCAAGTTTAGGGCACTCTGAGAATGACAAAGGTTTCCTCATAATGCAGGCCGGTCCCGCCAGGCGCAGCGCGGCTCTAGACAAGTGCATACTGTTGTGTACACGTACGCAGCGAGCGCCGGGAATGCGCGAATGTGGCAAGCTGTCAAGTGACGCGGCACGCTGACGCTGTGCATGAGCTTGTTGAAGTGCCGCACGACCGGTCATCGGGTTGTTGGGGTGCAGTAGTGACGGTCGACTGACGGGGGGACCGACAGCGGTCGGTGACGGGATCACTCAAGTTCGTTGTGCGGCGAACAGCACTCGGGGATGCGCCTGAGCAGCAAGCCCGTCCACCAATGGTTGATCGTGCGCGTGTGCAGCAGGGCATGGTGTTGCTCTGTACAAAACGGCGGAGCCCAACAGATCATCTGCGCAGGCATGTGCAGATGATCCCGGCAGCACCTGCTTGCAGCCTGATTGCGTGCCATGCCTAACAGTTTCTAATACGTGGCAATGGCATTGCTTGTCAATAGGAAAGCTTAGAAAGCGATGCACAACACAATGAACGAGCCGGAGCACACAACATTGGCAACTGATAGCCATGCGCCACTGGTGATGGTTGGACTACCAGCACTGGCGATGTTAAGTGCGTCGGAGGTGAACCCGTTGCATGTATTGGATACCAAGCCAGTTGTTCCAGAGCCCGAGAAATAGACGCCACGGGATGGGAGCAGCCCTGCATCAAAAAGCGACAGCAAAAGTCCGTTTGCCAGCGAGCTTGTGAAGTTGCGGGCCAGGACCGCCCCTCCCGGCGCCTCGACCGCCAAGCCGCTGGGGACGCCGTACAATGTGGTGAAATCGGCGATCTGGTCGGATGAAGATGTCGACAGGAACGCGTGCACCTGCACGAGCCCCGCCGGCCGGTTGATGGAGGCGCTGCACAGCGCGTCTGCGCCGGACCGGCCTCCAAGATTACCGTTCCTTCCCGTCGTCGAGGATTCTCTGTAAAGCACAACCCGCGCGCGCAGGTACTGCGCCGCAGGCACGCCCCCAAGGCTGACTGCGTTGACGTTGGCCAGGTCGGCGGTTTTTACGTAGTCGGTGAAATTGATGGCAGACACAGTGGCAGACACATTGGCTACATCGGCTGCCACGGCAACGAGGCTGGTGTTGACCGACGCGATGGCTGCCGCGCTTGTGGTGATGGTGGCCTTCAGTGACTCCACAGTGGCATTGGCCAGGGAGACTGCCGCCGTGCCTGCCGTCTGGGCTGCCTTGATGGCGGCCAGGGTGGTGTCGACGGCCGACAGCTCCGGGCCGCAGGTGCACTGCTGCGGCACGGACTTGAGCGCCGCGATGTCTTGGGTCAGGGTCTGATTGGCCGCCGCCAGCAGGGCCAGCTTCTGGGCAGTGCGCGTGTCGGCCGCTGCAAGGGCAGCGAGCTCCTGGGAGATGGTGCTTGCCGGGTTGGTGGCGTTGGCTGCGTTTGCTTGCAGCTGCTGCACAAGCGCGCTGAGCGCCGCGGCCGCCGCTGTGAGCTCAGCCACCTGGGCGCGCAGCGAGGCCGTCTGGTTGCTTCCCTGGGCAACGGTGGCCTGCACGGAGCTGACTTGGGCGGCGGCGGCAGTGATCTTGGGCTCGAGCGCTGCCAGGTCACCCGAAACTCTGTTGACCTGTGCTGTGGTAGCCACGCCGCAGCCATAGTGCAGCTTGGTGGGGTCCTGGGGGAGTGGAAGTGTGCGGGTTGGTCAAAGTGTGAAGCAACCACTGGAGGTTTTGGACGTAATTGTCAAGAGCGAGTGCGTGGTACTTGAAGAGCTGCAGCTGCCCCCCTTCACAAACAACCAAGCAATGGACTGCCGTTTGTATCGCTGCGTGTATTGGCCTGTGTGCATTCGTGCGTGCGCGCACCTTGCTGTCGGCCGTTGCGTTGGCGGGTGCCAGCAGCTCGCTGCATATCTGGTCCATGAGGGCGGTCGGGCCGGCCTTGGAGGAGCACGACTTGGTCAAAGCCTTGACAGGCGCACACTGCGTGGTGGTGGTGTGTGTGTGTGTGTGTGTGTGTGTGTGTCTGTGTGTGTGTGTGTCTGTGTGTGACTGTGTGTGTGCGTAGCAAACGCAGGTTTGTTCAACGCTTGCACCGCAGGATGCTGCCTTCACACACGCACGCTGGACCCCAAGTGCAGGCCAGGCACTCGTTTCGCCATGGTCTCAAGGCAGATGTCTACGCCGCGTGGCCAACGTGCTGTAGCGACGTAAGCAAGCAGTTGGTGCGCGGCTGCAGGCGTGCATGCACCAAGGCCCTGTGTATGTGGCAGGCAGGCAGTCCTTATCCTCCAGGCGGCACTTACTAGCGCCAGCTTCTGCTTCTTGGGGGTCGCTTGAGGGCTGGGGGTGGGGGGGCGTGCCATGAGCGTCGGGGCAGTGGCCCTCCCGGGAAGGACGGCGATGCGGGTTGGCACTAGTCGACACTTGACAGGCTGATGTGCAGGAGGCTTGCATGTTTGCAGCACGGGGCCCGCCGGTGCACACCACGACAGTATGCCCCTCCTGTTACTGCTTGTGCGCCATCTGCGGCCTGGCGCACCCTTGGCCCCAAGACCACGCACACCCTGAGAGCGCACCTGGCACATGTGACCCCGCCCAGCATGTTGAGAAGCAGCAGTACAGCCACCAACATGCCTACAACATTGATCGAGCTCCGTATACACCGCATGCTGGGCCTGACGACGTCAAAGAGGAACAACTTGGGCGTCGATGATTCGAGCCGACGAGATCATTCGCCAAATGTGGGCAGTGTCTCGATTGGCGGATAGTTACATTCAGCTTCAACTTTCCGTCACAATGTTCTTCCTTGTTCGCGGAGCAAGTCTAGGGTGAGCCAAAGATCATGCGATGTGAACGGTATTCGCCTTACTCATCAGCGTGCGAACCTGGGCGGCGCAGCTCAAATTGAACACACGGGCGTGCTTGGAGGTCAGATGAATTACTGTCACCAGGGCTGACGCGTGGGCGCAGGGTTCCAGTTGTGAAAATTGTGCCTGGGGCACTGACTACAACGGTACCGTACTGTCCACGAACACGTGATCAAGCGCAGCGTGTTACGCCCCTCGAAAACGTGCGTGGTTGGCGTGCCTGAGCCTATGAATCTGGAAAGTATGAAACCTGGTATTGAATGAGGTGTTTGGTGGCTGCAATGCCGCCGCAGCAGGGTTGGAGGGTGTCGATTATACGGCTCACCAGGGATGAGACCCCGATCAGTACGGGTGTCGCAGGTGACTATGCAACCTTCTTGCCATGCTTGTCTGCTGAAAGCAAATTCGGGACACACAAGGAGAAGTTTACCTCAACTACCTTGGAGTCGTAGTCGATACAAGTATTGGTGCACACGTGCACGTAAGTTTGCAGGCAACGAAACGCAAGTGCCGAGTGGCAGCGAGGCGTTGTAGGGTTGTAACTGCACGATTGTGCTGCTCCTCAGGCGCATCAAGTGACACCAAGTGCCTGCTGGGCTGCCTGCCCCTGCGACCCTGCCGCCCCATCATTCTAGAGCGCATCGTCGAGCGCATAAAGATCAATCCGCACGGCTACAGGGCCGCACGCGCTTCCGGTGATCTCCAAGGTCGGGGCGGCCCGCCCATGTAGGGCCGCCCATCTGCAACCGCCCTGCCGCCTGCCCCCCTCCCCCGGCCCCACCCCCGTTGCTTACGCCACCTGGGCCCGCACAGTCGCACGTCCCTCCCCCCAAAACGTTGCGCAACAACGCCGCAGTTTCACACCCCATTCACTGCGATTGCAGCACAGACGGTTGAGTCCCCGTTCTGTCTGGCTCATGTGCAGGGGGGCGTGGACGTCGCGCACTGCTGGGCAAGGGCAAGCGCCAAGTAAGGGCGTAGCGTTCAGACCTTTGGCCTTGCTGACGCCGCTCAGCCGGTTCTGCACTTGCGTGGGGCTGGCGTCCGTGCGTGTCCCTCTTCCCCCCAGCACCTGTACCTTGAGTCATGCAGCACGGCACACACTGATTGTGATTCCCCTTGCGGTGCCCACACCCTTGCCACCGGTTGGTACAGAGGATTACATAGAGGTGCAAGATACAAAGGGAAGTCTGAGTGCATTCATGCAAGCACGCAAGCACTGATGTACATGCATGCATGCAACCAAGCATGCATGTATACGTGTGTACATGCGTCTCTGCAGGGGAGGTGTGTAAGGCATCAGCCGACCACCTCGCACCCCCCACCCCTCATCCCTCGCATGATGCCAATTGTTGCGGATTTAGGGGTACAAAGCTGCTGATTGGCGGCGCACCTGGCGGGAGAGAAATCGAGCCCCCTTTGATGCCAGCCTGAAAACGCATGCGCACGCGCATGCTTGTCGTTTCTCGATTAGTTGTCGGCCTGGGCGCGCACCTGCTCGTCTTGCTGGCCGCTGCCAAGGAAGGGCATGGGGCAGTCATGGGCTGCAGGTGCCAGCGGCGCGTTGCAGCATGGCAGTTCTCAGGGACTTGAGGCGCAGGATGAGCGCATGGCTAGTCCACTCCTGCTCCTGGACAGTAGAGGCTCAGTGCCTCGGGTCACCTGCACAGGCGCATGGCCGGCGGCGCTCCTGGCGGTGGGCAAACGCCCGCCCTGGCATTGCCCCATGGGCGCTGGGCGCATTGCAAAGCCGGCTGGGCGAGGTTGTCACCTTACAACGTGGGGCGGCCACACAGAGTGGTGCTGCGTCATGCATATGAACGAGGCTCGCAGCGGCCAGTAAGCTCCACCATTGGCTCAGCCGGTCACCTGGTGTCACCGCGACTAGCCGCAGGCGCCTGCTGGGACATAACGCGCCAAGGTCATGCGCAGCCGCTGGCAGCGGTTGGAAATGTCGTTGTGATCGCTTCTACTTTTCGCATTCACTCCCACTATAGAGCTGCGCTGAGAAGTTAGGATCGCTGCGATGGCTTCTCCAGAGCTCACGCGAGCGTTTCTGGGACATTTAAGGATGCAAATCGCTGCAGCTATGCGGCCCTCAGCCCTCGCTGCCTGCAGTGCCCTGTTCACCTCGGGATCGGCTGGACCGCGCGCGTTTAGCAGCAGCATAGGCACAGAAAGGTGCGCATGGATGCTTTTATTGCATTGCACCCTGTATCCAGGGCTACATGTGTGCTCTGCATCGTCTGGTGGACACCGCCTTGCTTGCTGCTTTTGCGCAGCGCACACCCGCCCCAGCCGCAACCAACACCCCCGCCCGCACCCAGCGGCATCAGTGGCGTCAGTGGCAGCGGCAGGAGAAGTAGCAGCAGTGCGAGCAGCAGCAGCGGCGGCGGCCTGCCCCCAGGCGTCCTGTACCCGACGCACGTGCCGCTCGGCGCCGGCCAAAAGACGGCGGTCGCGCTGCTCGCAGCCTTAGGGGCGCTCCACAGGTGGGCAGCCGCCGGGCCCCTGTGCCCCCTCGTCTTCCGTCCGGCGTGCGGCCGGCTGCCTGGTCTGCCAACGGCACCTCTCTTGTGACGAAAAGGCTACGCCACGGCCGTGGCTCGCGCCCTCACGTCCCCAACAGGCGACGGCCTCGCGCGCCCCCCCCCCCCCCC